CAAAAATGTCCTTTGATGTGATGGATAAAAGTATGATTTGATGGATAGATTATTAGTAAAAAGGTATGATGTGATAGTTAGGGTATGAAAAAGTAAGGGGTAAAAGTGACTTTTTAATAAAAATGAGAAGTGTTTTGTGGGACGGATAAAAAAAGAAAGGGGAAATGTTTCACGGGACAGAGGGAGTAATTAAGTAATAAATCAATTCCCACACTCTCTTCAATTCGCTCGTCCATTAGTTTAGATTTTATGTTTTAAAAGTATTTTATTTCCGAAAAAAGATTGGCAAAAAATAGAACATGCATCTGATAAAGACTTAATGATTAGCATATTTGATAGCTAGTGCACTTGGCAACTTGCTTCATTTTCTTGCCTTCCTAATGGTCAATGCCCACCGGCTAAGGCATTTCATCCCCAGATTGAGGAATGCTAGGGGTATACCATTTGGTATACTCCATTTGTACACCAACAATCATAGCCATAGATTTCTTTTTATATTTGTAATTTTTTTTCTTTTCTTACTTTTGTATGATGGAGATGGAGGGAGTACAAATGAAGTACACAAATTGGTGTACCCCTAGCATTTTTGCCCTAGATTTCATTTGGATTCTTTTCAATAAATTTGTTTATGTCACCAAGGCCTTGGTCGATCGATGCAAATTATATTATACATCCGGCTGTACCCAAAATTAGGTACATCCCGTAAATTAAAGGAAGAAGAATAGTTGCGTCGATGGGAGGAGAAAGGAGAGGTGCTCCTAATCGGGTTGCGTCGGGTCGCTATGAGTGAAAGGAGAGGTCGATGGAGGAAGGAGAGGCGTTACTTCAATCGGAAGAAAGCTTTTGTATGGGAAGGAAAGTGTTCCGCATCCGTCACGGAAGCTGCTGATAGGAGGAGAGGAGCTGGGATGAAAAACCCTAGTCAGGTCGTGTGGTTTTGGTATGAGTTTTATTTTATTTTGCACGAGAATGAAAACTAACTTATTTAAAAGTGTGTATTGTTTTGTTTCAGAATGAACATTTTGTAGATGAATATTATGATTATCTTAGAATAAATGTGTTGAGAATGATTACTCTCAAGATAATTACGTTTGGACCTTCTCGTCGATCAGTAGTTGTCCAAGAAACCCATCCATGGGTGCATCCGAGTCGGCTCTCTCAAGCTCACAGGTAGCTCTTCTTCAAATTTCAAACCTCTGAGTTCACCATTAAATTTTGATTTTTCTTCTCCATATAATCTTCGTTTACCAAAACAAATCATACAGAGGTCCGGAGATGAGATTACAACGGTTTCGGAGCGGGTAAAAGGTGCAGATCCGATCCTGGAGAGGCTAAGGTCCCTCCAAATTGTGAGGTTTCGTTATGTTTTCGGGTTTGATTTGTGAGCTAGAGATGGTTGTTCGTATTCACCCGTCCTTGTATTTGCCGCAGTCCAGCCCAATCCTGACGGCGCCGCCGCAGGAGACTAGTCTGACGGACATTTTGGTGAGAAAGACGCCATCTGCTTCGAATTCAGGTATTTAAAGCGTCTCTTTTGCTATCCAAAAAACGAAAGTCTTTGTTAAAGCTACTTTGTTAGATTCGTTTTGTTTTCCAAGCATTTTTAAGCTCTTGCGGTTTGAAAATCCTCAAATAGTTCTTTCCCAATTTCTTTCCATTCTTAAGCATATGAACTTATTCTTCAATTTTTATAGAGAAAAAAGAATATATTTTCAAATGAAGAAGAGTGAGTATAAAACGAGGAGTTCAGGGTTGAAGACAAACTATTGACAGATGATTTTTAGTGGTTAACTAGTGTTTTAATGGTTCAATGGATTTCTTCTCTTTCACAAATTATCATGTTATTCTGCTCTCCTCGGTACAAAATGTGGCTTTTGGCCAACAATGATGTCTACACTTATGTGCTTGTGATAGGTTGCATAGACCCAAAAGTTCTACTGGATCTCTTTAGTATGTACCGCGATTGGCAAGAAGATAAGGTCCAGAAGATCAATAAAAAACAGGTTTGTCGCACTCAACTTGAGGGTGGTGTTATTAGAGCCATCTATTCATGCATCAACTTTATTACGAGTATTATCGTTAATTTTTAAGCTGCATCCAAGTGTCTCTGTTTTTGGTAGTGCTCCATGATATTTCAAAAGATGCTTTAACATTTATGAAACTTTTAAGGAACTAAAAAAGGGAGTTTTTAATTGAAAAATCATAAGACTGCATGGTTTGCATTCATAACAATGCATTTGTTTTGCTTTTCAATATACAGTAAACACTATCCACTTTTGATTCTTGAAACAGCCCTTATCTTTAGTCATTTCTATAATACCTTTAGTATGGTATTTAGCGTAATTTATAATGTTTGAAAAGACGTTTCCTAGTCCATCATAAGTAGAAACTTTCATAGGATATTTGATTTTTTTTTAACATAGAGAAGTTGCAGAATCATGAGGTAGGTGCCCCTAACAAATAAAGTGTACTCGGTTAAGCATAGGAAAGTATATCTGGTTAGACTGTACTGGTTTGCCTGTTAGAGTTGCATAAATTGCCCCTCTACCTCTTCTGTGTATTATACAAGTGCGACCTCCAAATATTACTTCAGCGCGGTCATCCCAATTTCACCAGAGGTGAGGCGAAATGTGAGAGGCAAGCTGAGGTGGCCAGATATATTTGAAAAACTGGGCTGAGCTTTACCTTTTGACCATCCACCTCTTGTTTTAGAGTAGGTCCTCTCGCTCGCCTTTCACCTTTCAAAACTACCTTCTTGGTCACTGCACACCGGCTACGTTTATGTTTTCATCCCTTGTATCAACAATGGCTCGTCTCACAACTTAGTCATTCCTAGTATTATGACAAAATAGACAAGATAAACACTGACAGGGAAGTAGCATGTCCTCTGAAAGAGAGACAGACACGCACACCCACACACAGATGAAAGTGACCAAGGCGCATGATGAGTGTTTTTTTATTTGTTGAGAAATCCTTGTAACAAACAATTCCATTTCTTGGTGGTTGATGCAGGAAGAGATAGATAACAAGATTGAAGTTGCAGATGCATTGGCAATTAAGCTCCTTCAGCGATACAACTACTCAGCCTCCGCAATGAAAGCAACTTCACAACATCTATCCGGAGGTATTACTTTATCATATATGTAAACGGGCCGGTTCTATGGCCACTCTTTTGAGTGGTCACAGAGGACACTGGACACGTACACCGCTCTATTTGCAAAATTGATAATTCCTAGTCTCCCTTACCTCCCACCTAGTCCCAACCCCCAAACCATCTCTCCACCCACATCAATTGCACCCCACACGTTTAGTTGACTTTGGGGTCAAATTTTTTACCTCAAACTCAACTAAACTTGTGGAGTACAATTGACGTGGGTGAGAGATGGGTTAGGGTCAGGACTGGGTGGGAGGTAAGGGAGACTAGGAACTATCAATTTTGCAAATAGAGTACCGTAGATGTCCCAATAAGGACAGTGTCCTCCGTCGCTACTCAAAGGGAGTGGCCACAGAACCTAGCCGATTTGACAATGGAAACTTGTGGTAAATGTCACATATTATAGTATTGATTGTTAATGTCTTACTTCCCATTTGGATTGCGCACTGGCAGTGCACTCTTTGCAGGTTGAACTTGGAGAGTTGAAAGGGAGATTGACTGAGTTAATCAGCAATTGTGATGCATTGTGCAAGAGAATTGATGATGATGGTCCAGATTTGCTTCGATCTTCTGTCAAACGATTTGCTGCTGCCTCTGTAAAACTAGATGCTGCTCACGGATCGGCTTCTTTACAACAAACAGACTCCAACTGCGGCCAATAGTTTTTCTTTGCCCGGTTTCTTTCACTTTTTCCTGTTTTATTTGTAATTTATAAATATATGTCCATTGTACTTCCCCATTTCTCATCTCTCCCCATAAAAGATGTACCACTCAGTCTTAGATGACTGTTATTTGCGAGTTCTGTTCCATCAAACATTAAAAAAAACTAGTTATACTTGGTTACGGTTTTGTTTTTTCTTCTATTATTTATAAATGGCCATCAATAATGATTTGTGGCATCTACTCTGGTTGAATTCGGGGTAGTGATCTGATAACCCTCTGTTCTTTTGCCCTAATTGTCAATTTGTCATGCCATGCCCTAAACAACGTATAGAAAAACAGAGAGAACAACAGACAGAAAAACAGAATTTCAAATTGGCAGAGATGTACTGGTGGTAATTGTGTGAATTCCAGTTGTAAATAACATACAAAAAAATACAATTTCAAATCGCATTTCGAAATGGACTTTGTGGCATTTACAATGATTCCAAATCCATCTGGCCCCAACTCCTATCATATCAATATTTCATTAACTTTTTTCTCCGTCTCAAAAAATGATGCTTATATGGTCCCAAAATTCATATTAATGAGCTTACATGTGGATACTTTCTTTTTTGAAAAAATCTACTTTTATACTACAAATGCATGAAACTTAGGTCCACAAAAAATTAGCCCGCCCTCAAAATCTTGCATTGATATCGTCTCGAAAATCCGCCTCTCCGTTTCTTTTACAATATTTATTAGTTTTAATTCAAAACTTGTATAAATTAAATACAAATATTAATAAATAAAATAAAAGTAATAGTTTTAAAATTAAGAAAAAAGAACATTAAAGTAAGGGTTTAAAATTTAAAAAAAATGAAATAAAAAAAATGGAGGAAGAAGAAGGCGATCCGGCGTGGCAGGAGGAAGAGGAAGGCAAGTTGGGATCGGGGGAGGAGAAGGAAGAAACCATAAATATCAAAATATTTTGAAATGTTAGATTAAAATTAGACGCCTTTGCTAAGAATTTAGGGCAATAAATAAGAGAAAAGTGAAGAAAATGTTCAGATTGAACCAAAAAATAGTGCATGGACGAAATGGCTCTGATTTTCAGTACAAAGACTAACTCGAACATTTTAAGATAGGATAGGGACCTATATGGTCCAATTTAAAAACAAAGAATACTACAAAAAACATCAAGAAAAAAATACTACAAAGTATATTTTTTCCTTTCACTTTTCTCCTCTTTTCCTCACTATCCCAACAAAAAACATTGTCGTGCAAGATAAGCTTGGACAATGAGGCCTATTATGCAGCTCCATCTTCAATTGTGACACCCTCAAAGCCTATGAAAATGAATAAAAGAAACCAAATGAGTCAACAATTTTGAGGAAACAAGGTTTCGTTAGGTACACGAAATTCAAACTATATAATTGGAATTGAGGATAACAATTCCAATTTTGCTGTTTGGTAGCACAAAAATATGTAAATTTGAAATTGGTAGTGCAAAAAATGAATCTGAATTGGAGAATGCAATTACATCCAAATCAAAACCATAGAATTTCGACTCTCAATTCAATTTCAATCCCGTCAATTCTGTGTACCAAATGGACCCTAAGTGTCAATCCAAATCATAAAGGCATAAACATCTTTTTTTTTAATATTTGTAAATCTTTATCGCCTACACTTGCTCCACTGTTAGATCTACTCCCCTTATATTTTTGTAAATCAAAACACACAAATAAAAACCCCCAACATTTCTTTATTACTTCACAAATAATAAGTAACGAAAGAACATTAACTTGTCATTGTTGTTTTCTCCTTTAGGGCCTGTTTGGTTGGAGGGGAGGGGAAGGGTGGGGAAGGGAATGCAAATGTTTTCCCTTCACCTTGTTTGAAGGGAGGGTGATGGGTATATCCCTATACCCGACTTGGACAGCCAAAAGGAACAGGTCAAAGTATGACCGGTCACTTTTAGCAATCACTAAATGAGGTTAACTCTTCGATTGGGACGGGTCAAAAGTTGACCGGTCACTTCCACTAAAAAAGTGACCGGTCACATTTTAGGCGATAGCCAAAGTGTCGCCTAATGTTACAAAGGACATTCTAGAAGACCAGAGAGACGGGTTGGGCGCAAGAAACGACCGGGTAACCTTTGAGAGAAGGTGACCGGTCATGTCACTTTACTTAGCAAACATTGGTCCTGTCTCTCAGACATAGTGAACCACGTCAAAGGTCAAGGGAACACCCCGCCGCTCATCCATCACGAGGCACACAGTGAAAGGGATGTTTGTCATTTTGCAGGGTTGATTGGATTGAGAATATCCATTTTAGTCTTTGATTGAACAGTGTTTTTTGGTTGTATTAGTAGCAAGTCTATGATTGTACAGTGCTTCCATTAACTACAGTGACCTTCCCACGAGCTTCCTATTTTGTCCATAGATGAACAGGGGAAGGTCACAAATCCTCCTCTATAAATATGATAATATTGGATAGTGGAGGGGATGCATTCTTTATCTCACTAAAAACTAGTACACTCTTGAGACAGAGTAAGAAATATATTTCGGACTGAGGAGATTTACCCAGTCTAGAATATACTTTGTGTTGTTGTTGTGTGTTTTATATTACAGGTCGAGTGTGTCCAGGTCAGGTTCGGTCAACCTACCCATCTATATTTACACCATCAAAGGGGAAGGAATAAATGCGTAGAGATCCTTTGCATAACCTATTATAGACTTTGGTTGCAACTCGTTAGCGGTAAAACACACAACTTTTCACATTCAGGTTATATATTAATTCTCCCTCACCTTCTTCGTGCGGCCTATCACTACCAGTCAATTAGTAGCTAGTGCGGTGCGATTAGAACTAGGAACTGTGATTGCTTATGTCACAAGTCGTAGCATGACAATAAAGCATGGAACCCTGCGACCAATACAAAGCCATCAATATCAGTATCTTAAGCATTACCATTGTAGAGACATAATCCAATATCAAAATGAAGTGACATGAATAATTATGTGGGAACTAAGGGGGTGTATTCAATCAGGATTCTAATGGATTTTTTTAGATTATTTAGAATCCGTAGATTCTGTAAAATCCATGGATTATTTTAAATCTATATAGAGTTAAGTAGATTTTAATGTATTTTATATAGGATTTTATATGATTCTGTTTGATTGTTTATAATTCATGGATTATTTACACATAAATATGAATTATTTTTAAAATCTATACATTGTTCTTCTTGGAAACCTCCTGCACACTCGTTAGAACAGCTCCAACTTGACATCAGTAAAGTGCTAATTCCAAGCACTCAAAATTAGCCTCAACACTAATTACACTAGTTTGAAGAACCCAAAGCCTCAAGGATTAGTTATTCAAGGTTGTCCTTCATCTTCCTTCTAGCAAGAGTTGTTCAAGGTTGCCATTCATCTTCCTTCTTTGCCCTTCATCTTCCTAGGGCTGCCACTGCCCTTCATCTTCTTTCTTTGACCCCAAAATTCCAGCAACTCTCTCAAGGCCTCAAAATAACAATTCCAAAAGAGTTCATAGTTCTCAAGAATTGAAAGACTTCATCACAATATTATCAAATCATAATATTTCTGATTTGGAAATATATCAGGTTTCTAATTAAACATGAACTCTTACAAATAAGACTTGAGAACTATGATGCATTATTCATGACCTAGGCTTCGTTTGTTTCAAGGAAAATTGTGAAAACCGAATATGTGTAGGAGACAAAAACAATCTAATTCCTTTATTTCTTTGTGTTCTATTTGTACAAGAAACTTCCCTTTGATATATAGGAAGGAAAAATAACCAAACCCTAATAGGAAAAGAGTTCCCACAAGGAAGGAAACCCAATCACAATAGGAGAACAACTCCCTCTGGTCTTGTGTGCCGTGCGTGCATCCTTGGGCCCCAAGATGGCGTAATACCCCCCCCCCCCTCAAGCTGGAGCGTGCGGATTTCGAATGCCCGGCTTGGACAACAAGTGATTAAACGGAGCGACGGTGAGGGGTTTAGTGAAAATGTCTGTAGGTTAATCAACCGAAGGAACATGTGCGGTGCGAAGGATGCCTCGTTGAATCTCATCCCGGACGAAATAGCAATCAATTTCTATGTGTTTGGTACGTTCATGGAAAACGGGATTAGCGACGATATGCAAGGCTGCCTGATTATCGCAAAATAATGTCATTGGTTGAGAATGTCGAACCCCAAGAGAAAGTAAGAGACTGCGAAGCCACTTAAGTTCCCAGACCGCGGTGGCCTTGGCGCGGTATTCTGCCTCTGCGGAAGTATGAGAGACGGTTATCTGTTTCTTTGTACGCCAAGAAATGGGAGAATCACCTAAGCGAATGAAATACCCGGAGACGGAACGACGAGTAAGCGAACAGCTGGCCCAGTCCGAATCACAGAAACCCGTGAGCTGAAGAGGACCAGTGGTCGAGAGAAACAGATCATGCCCGGGCCGAGCTTTGATATAGCGGAGTGTGTGAAGGGCGGCGTCCCATTGATCCTGATGCGGATTAGCCATGAACCGAGACAAAATATGAACGGCATAAGTCAAGTCTGGCCGGGTAATAGTAAGATAGATCAGACGGCCAACCAAGCAACGATACTGAGACGGGTCGGGTAGGAGAGGACCGCCAGCCAGGGCAAGATGGTGATTGGCCGGCAGGGGAGTGGCGGCAGAACGGCAACCCAGGTGACCGGTGTCGGAGAGAATATCAAGGGCATATTTCCGTTGAGATAAAAAACTCCGAAAGCGTTGCGAGCGACCTCGACACCAAAAAAATATTTAAGCAAACCAAGATCCTTCATGTGAAAACACTCAGACAAGTAGTGTTTGAATTTAGAGATAAAAACCTCGTCATTTCCGGCAAGCACCAAGTCATCAACATAAATAAGGACCCGAAGCTCAATATGACCACGCACAAGAGTGAATAAAGAGTAATCTGCCTTCGACTGAACAAACCCATACGCACGAAGAGCATTGGTGAGCTTGGAAAACCAACAACGAGGTGCTTGCCGAAGGCCGTAGAGTGACTTGTGTAGGCGGCAGACCAAGCCCTACCGGCGGGATGCAAAACCCGGAGGAAGGTGCATGTAAACTTCGTCCTGAAGATCACCGTGGAGGAACGCATTATGGACATCCATTTGATGGAAACTCCAGTTCCGCACGGCAGCTACAGCCAACAAAACTCGGACAGACACAAGTTTGGCGGTGGGGGCAAAAGTCTCCTTGTAATTAATGCCTTCTTTTTGCCGATTGCCGAGGATCACAAGATGGGCTTTATAGCGTTCAATACTGCCATCAAATTTTTGTTTAATCTTGTAGACCCATTTGGAGCCGATTGCCTTTTTATGTGGCGGAAGAGGAACCAAGGACCAAGTTCCGTTAGCGGCTAGGGCGTCTAATTCGTCCTTCATGGCGACTCGCCATTGGGGATGTTTGACCGCTTCCTTGAAGCTAGTGGGCTCCTTATCTGCAGTAATTGTTGCTAAAAAACTTCGATGGGTAGAAGAAAAATTATCACAGGTAACAAATTTAGTAATACAGTGAGTCGTACCTGAAGTCGGGAGAAGAGCGGTGGAGCAAGCCGGTGTACTACCAGTGGTATGCATGACAAAATCACGAAGATGTGACGGGGGACGATGATCGCGCTGGCTGCGGCGAATGGGTTCCCTAGCCGGAGAAGGGGCAGGATTGGGTAAGGAAATCTGTTCGGGTAATGTAGCTGGTTAGTCGGCATGGGTGTTCTCGGGTTGGTCGCTATCGTGGGGAATGGGAGTAGAACCGTCAGGTAGTGTGGGAGATGGGGATAGGGTGGTGATGGGAGGAGGATCGGGTAGGACAGAGGTGGGGATGACGGAAGGTTCGTCATCGACGATATCACCAGCCGGTGGGGTAACGGGGGGTGAAGACCGGGTTGGAGAGGAAAAAGGAAAAGAATCTTCAACAAATTTGACATCCCGACTGACGAAAATTTTGTTTGTTTCCAAATCTTGCAAGCGCCATCCCTTTTGCCCGAAATGATACCCGAGGAAAAGGCAACGACGCGAGCAACTTGCAAATTTGTCCCCGTGAGTTGATTGATTGTGAGCATAGGCAAGGCACCCAAAAGTGCGAATATGAGTATATGACGGTTCTTGTCCGAACAGTATGGCATATGGGGTTTTCCCATTGAGAAGAGGAGTAGGAGTGCGGTTAATCAGATAGGCGGCCGTAAGGATGCAGTCACCCCAATATGAAATAGGAAGATTGGCCTGGAAACGGAGTGCACGTGCGATGTTAAGGATATGGCGATGCTTGCGTTCGACTCTCCCGTTTTGTTGGGGAGTGCCGACACAAGAAGACTCAAAAATTATACCTTGAGAGGCAAAATATGATTTCATGCACGTGAATTCCGTTCTATTGTCACTTCGGAATGTTTTTATTTGAGCATCAAACTGACGGCGAATGAATGAGAAAAAATTGTGCAATATGGTTGGTGTTTCATCTTTTTGATTTAGAAGATACACCCAGGTTGCTCGTGAAAAGTTGTCAACAATTGTCAGAAAATATTTTGCCCCAGTACGAGAAGCTGTACGGTACCCCCCATAGATCACAGTGTATCAATTTAAAAGGAGTATCAGATTTATTTAAACTGGTAGGAAAAGAATCACGACATTGTTTAGCCCGAAAACATACATCGCAAGGGAATGTGACATCTTTAGAAAAAGAACAAAAAGGAAGAAAACGACAAATCTCTGGAGAGGGATGACCAAGTCGCTGATGCCAGACGGCAAAATCCTTCGTTGCCCGCAGAGCGCATGCTTTGTCATACGTTCCTTCGACAAAATAGTAGAGACCACCAGCTTTTTCACCCGTTCCAATCACCGTCTTCGGGGTACAATCCTGTATCAAATAAAATTTGTTAGTAAACTGGACAATCATTCGTTCTTTTCCAAGAAGTTGAGAGACAGAAATTAAATTGCAGTTGAGTTTGGGAACTAGCAAAACATTGGTCAACTTCAGATGTTCATTCAGGACTATATCCCCTGCTTACGTGGCTGCTGCGCTTTCACCATTAGGAAGGCCGACGCTACACTCCTTCACACTCCGGATGTTCATCAATTTGTCTCTGTCTCCGGTCATGTGCTGGCTAGCACCACTTTCAATAATCCAAGAACCATATTTGTCTCTGTCTCCGGTCATGTGCTGGCTAGTACCTGAGAATTGGTTTTCGCATTACACTTCAGCCTGTCCAGCAAACTGTCCCTCTGCTCTCTTATCTCTCAGTTTGGTTCTGTCTACAGCTCGGTAGCCAGTACCGCGGCCGACTGCGCCGCGCCCCCTGCCTCCTCCTATGTCGTTCTGTACCGTTCCACCAGTGCGTCCACCACCACGACCTCCTCCTTGCAGCCGCGGACGGTCAGCCCACCATTCCGGGTAGCCTATGATCTGAAAGCATCCGCTTATCTCATGTCCAGATTGTCCACAATGTTTGCATTTGAGAGTATTGTCTCGATTTGGTTTACCAGTGGCCACGGCAAACCCTATGGGATTTCGTTCCTCTTCCGTGGTTGCCTTTAACACACCTTGTTGAGTGATAACCGAGTATACCCGATTAATCGTGGGAAGAGGTTCGGTGCTGAGAATATTTGAACGTAGACTGCCATAACCCTCATTATCTAAACCCATCAAAAACTGATGCACCTTTTCTTCATCACGCCATTTCTCCAACAAGGCGGTGAGACCGCACTTGCAACCTCCGCACTTGCAAGTCGGTACCTTCAACATGTCGTAGAGCTCGTCCCAAATCGCCTTCAGTTTCCTATAATGTTTGACGATTTCTTGGCCATTTTGTTTGGTGTTCTCCAATTCCTTCTTCAATTGATGAATCCGTGGGCCATTTGCCACAGAAAATCTAGCCTTTATGTCGTTCCACAAGTAAGGAGCCACTTCGACCTGCGTGATGGAGTTCCGTAAATAAATCTGTTTCAATCGTGTTGTAGATCCATGAAACGAGCATAGCGTTCACGATCCACCACTCTTCTACTTCCTCGTTGTCATCGGCTGGGCAAGGTATGGAACCGTCGATGAAACCAAATTTCCTCTTGGCACGTAGAGCGATTCGCATGGCGCTCGCCCATTCTTCGTAGTTTCGTCCGGTTAACTTGACTTGCGTAATCAACAAGCCAGGAGTATCCACAGACTTCATGTCGTATGGACTTGGCTTGGGTGTCTCGTTGCCTTCTGTTTTCTTTGGCGTTGCCTCTGGTTTGGGTGTCTCGGCCATGGTGTTGATCGTTTACTGCTCTGATACCATGTCAAGGAACCAACTCAACCAAAAGCGCGAGCTTGTGGTTGTGGACCAAGAATGATTGTTATATACTCTAACACGCCCCCTCACGTGCAGGCGTAGTCTTTTTTGAGCCTTGCACGTGAAACCTTAATTTTTTAAAAACTGGGTAGCGCTGAGTTTGGAACTCGTGACCTCTTGGTCATCAAGGCTTTGATACCATGTGAAAACCGAATGTGTGTAGGAGACAAACAATCTAATTCCTTTATTTCTCTATGTTCTATTTGTACAAGAAACTTCCCTTTGATATATAGAAAGGAAAAATAACCAAACCCTAATAGGAAAAGAGTTCCCACAAGGAAGGAAACCCAATCACAATAGGAGAACAACTCCCTCTGGTCTTGTGTGTCGTGCGTGCATCCTTGGGCCCCAAGATGGCGTAATAAAAATACTTTGATCGTGAAAATTTGTTTTCCTGGTAAACATGAGGTTTGAAAATAGTTTTCTGTAAACAACACAGAAGAGCCAATAAAACTTTTTTTTGCCTCTCAAGAAAATAGTTTCCTGTAAACAAACAGATCCTTAATAACATATACAACCTCCGTACCAAAAAAGAGAAGAAGAAAAGAATTGAAAGACTTCATCACAATTTTATCAAATCGGAAATCCAATACTAGCCATGAAATATATTTTCAAAACACCAAGAGTTCACAAACAAAATTCATAAAGAACAAGCAGGAATCTGAGCCATCTCAGAGAGCTCAAATCGCAATGTGAGCAATGCAAAAACTTCCCTTTTGCCTCAATTCGTTACCTTAATTAACTATAATCGGGACTCCAATTTTAGAATCGGATTACGAGATCGCTCATAATTCCTCAATAATCGGCCTTCAATTCAGCAAGAGTAGCAACGAATCTGGAAGAGATGGCGACCTGAGGAGATGATCGATTGGAAGAAGATGAAGAAGACGCCAATTGGAAGAAGATGAAGAAGGGATAGCAACCAGAGGAGACAATGGGCTGGAAGAAGATGAAGAAGGATGGCGACCAGAGGAGAAGATCGATGGAGTTGTCAAAATATTTACTTCTTTGGTGAGATTTTAAGGGTGGATTTGTATTTATACCCAACAAATAAAAATCCTTCAAAATCTACTTTTTTTTACAATCTTTAATAATCTATCAAATTTTAAATACCATTAGATTTAGAAAGATTTTTTAAAATTTGAGTTAAATACAATCAGATTTTAAATGACTTTTTAAAATCTAAATTGAATACCTACGGAATTTTTGAATCCAAAACAATCCATTAGAATCCTGATTGAATACACTAGTACATGCAATATGCATATACTTACAAAATGATTGAGTAAAAATTTGAGATCAAACAAAAAAAATAAAATTACAATTGTCCCCTAAGATTTTTGAATTCAAACTAGAAATGCAAAGAGCATGCAGAGGTTATTTCGCCCATTTGACCTAAGGTCTCGTTTGGTACACAGAATTCAAATTATAGAATTAGAATTGAGGACTTCAATTCTAATTTTGGTGTTTGGCAGCACAAATATTATGTGGATTTGGAAGTGATAGTACAAAAAATGAATTGAAATTGGTGAATTTAATTCTATGAAATTAAATCCCATGAAATTTCAATTCCAATTTAATTCCAATTCCATCAATTCCTTATACCAAACGGATCCTAAAGGGTTTTTTTGCTTTTTAGTTTTTAGGGAAGAGCACAAACTAGGGCAACCTAATTTCTATGGGGGCATTAGTGTTATTCTTTGAAAAATTGAGGGTGCTAACAATATTAGTAAACTTTTTTTTGGAAATCACTGGGGGCTAGTGCCCCCATTCCTTTGAATGTAGATCCGCCAGTGCTTTCAATGCGTTAAACCAACGATAATAATTTTAGAATTATTGAAGATATTTTTTTAAAAAAAAATGCATACGCAATGTTGACTACTTAGATATGTTGTTTTTTGGGAAACCTAATATAAATAAATAACCTTATATATTGGAAGAAAATTATATTACATTCGTCCCATAAAATTTTTCAAATACAAAGGCATCCCATAAAACTTTTCAAATTAGAAAAAAGGTGCACCCTACAATCATATATCCTACACATCATACTTATTGCAAAGTAAAGAAAAAGTTTAAAAATAAAATCAAAATTATATATTTTTAAAGGAATTCAGTGTTATGTCATTTCTAGATGATAGTCTTCTTAATAGATTTCAAAATAATTTCTTGATTGAGAACTTCAACTATGACAAAGAAAAATTGTCATTTGATTTTAGAGTATATTTATCTAAGATGAATGAAGATCAAAGAAAGATATCTGATGCGATAATCGAAATTTGATATCTGAAAGAGGAGGTTTCTTTTTTTGTATATGATTACGGGAGACTTGGAAAAACATTTATATAGAAACCAATGTCCACTTCTCAAGAACGAATGGTATGTAAGGCTGTTTGGAATATTGCATCCTGTGACATTGCAGCATTGCTTTTGCCTGGTGGAAGGACGGCGCACTCGAGATTCTCAATCGCTCTGGCTTTAACTAAGTGATCAACGTGTGCTATCAAACAAGGGTGTCCGAAAGCAGAATTAATCTAACAAGCAAGTGGAATCTTATGAGATGAAGCATGTGTGATGAATAGATTTGCTTTTGAGGTATTGGCTCACACAATGAGAGAGATATTGAGGTTCTACAATAATGGCTCTAGAAATGAACCATTCGGAGGGAAAATATTAGAACTTGGAAGTGATTTTTGCCTAATCCTTCCAATTTTACCAAAGTTTCGAGAGAGAAAATTATAGGTGCTACCAAGATTTCCCCAAAATTGAGGTTGTATTGTACAGTTTTTACATTGAGTAAGAATATGATATTGTATTCATCTATGTCCCCTTATCTAGATAGGGATACACAAGATTTTTCTGATTGGATAATCAAAATTGGAGATGGAAAGCTTGGTGGAATTGCTGATGTTGAAATTCTGCCGGAATTCTTGATTCTTGACATAAGTTATCCTCTCAAGAGTATAGTATTGGAATTCACTTATCTGAACTTATTAGAGAATATGAAAAAATATACTTTTTTAGAATAGGGCATCATTAGCACCCACTCTCGAAGTTGTTAAAATGGTAAATGAGTTTTTCTTAATCCTCATTCTCAGTCATGAAAAAGGAGTACTTGAGTTATAATTCTTAATGGCAAGAAGATGCCAATGTAGGTGTTGATGCTTATTGGATAACATTTAAATTTTTGAATGAAATCAAATGTTCAGATGTTCGGGGATCCCAAATCAATTCAAAAAAATAGTTTTGAAAAAAGGGTACTGATTATTTTATTTGGATTGTATAATAGTACAAGCTTAATTGTTGAAGAGGTGTGAAAAAATGTTAAATGTGTAATCGTGGTTTCGAGAAATCAAGACGGGGAAAAAGTTTACATACCTCGAATAAATTTGTACCATATGATCCAAGGCTACCCCCTAAAGTTTCAAAAAAGACAATTGCCAATAGTTTTATGTTTTGCTATGACTATTAACCAAAGTTATGGTGAAACATTATCTTTTGTTAGATTATTTTACTCCGTAACTAAGTCAGTATTAACTTATGATCAATTTTATGTTGTTGCTTCACGAGTGAAGAAAAATACATAATTAAAAATGTTTATTCTAGATGACAATAGAAACTCTTGCAACCATACCAAAAATGTTGTATACCAGAAGTGTTTTAAAAAAATTGAGTTTTAATAAGTCTTTGTTTTATATACTTTCAATTTTTCAAATATTATTTATTCTACTTTGATGTTGATGTATATATTGTATTAAAAATCATGTAATAAATTTATTTTATTTAGTCCACAAAAAAATATACATGAAAAAAAATAAAAAAAATTATTTGGCCCCGTGCATGGCACAGATCAAAAGACTAGTATATATTTGTAAAAGAGAGTTACAAAGTTGTGGTGATTACACGTGTCATGCCACACGTGCATACTACTGGCACGTGTCATGCCACACATGCATACACATGCATACTACTGACACATGTCATGCCGCATGTAATATACAAGACACATCTCATTCTACACATGCATATTTAATTTTGTATTAAATCATTATTTTTATTATATTTTATACACTCTTCACTTTTAAACAATAAAAAACCCTTATGTTTGTTCGTTTTTAAAAAAATTTTACTTTCTAACTATTTTAAAAATATTTATTGTTGTTTTAACATATTTTTTTAAAATATGCACGACTATTTTATAATATTAAAAAACTTATATAAAATTTATTAATTAAAAAAATAATGTTTCTTATAATTTTAAATTTATCCATCATCTCAAAAGAAACTTTTATATACTCATAAATTTTATCACACATACATCTTTATTAAGTTCATAACACATTTTAATCTTTTATCTTATTGCATTATGTATTTTATTACATACTCTCTCCGTTCCAATTTAAATCGCTTGTTTTGACTTTTGGGCATATTTAAGGAAAATAAAAAATAGAGTTAATTTTTCAAAATTGACATTACTTTTTAGCAGGGGTGATGATGAATGAGAAGATAAGGTGGAGAAGAGTGACTTATTTTAGGGTTAGTTCAGGTATTTTATTTTTAAAAGTTTACGAAAACAACTAACAGGCAACTTATTTTGGGAGGGAGAAAAAGACAAATATGTAATTTAAAATGGGACAGTGGGAGTATTTTTTTGCAAACTAAACAAATTGAAAGTTTAATTGAAGGATTACAAGTGGCACATGACACATATGCATTCTCTAATGATGTGTCATTACTTAATTCATTTATTTGACATTTTTATTTTAATTTTTATTAATTAAAACGATTTTCACTATTTTTTATTTAAAGGTCATTATATTTGTATAAAACTTTAAAATAGTTAGAAATTATTTATCAAACACATCATATATCCTTAATAAAAAATTTAAAATAAATGATATTTTATTTTTAGATGTTAAAATTTAGAATATATGTGAGCCCGTGCAAAGCAGGGGGTTAATACTAGTTTTTTAGTATAATTTAACATATTGATGTTTTCATGTTTTATCATGTAGACTAATATACAAAAAAATGTCTTATTCATATTAAAAAGTTGAAGAAAAAAAAAATAAGTGTGAATCGTAAAAATAGTGAGATGTAAAACATAATTTATAAACTACAGTTATGAATATAACAATTTTAATAATAATAATAATAATAATAATAATAATACAGAGTAATAATCACATTGAAATATATCATTTTCAGAGTAATTGGTTGAGGAGTAGAAAGAATTTGAAGAAAATGAAAAAAAAATTGAAGAAATTGGAAGAAACTGGAAGGAACTGGAAGAAATTGGAAGGAACTCGAAGAAAGTGGAAAAAACTAGAAGAAACTGGAAAGAACTGGAAGTTAAGAGTTCAAGTCATAGTTTTGGCCAAGGATGGTGCTGTCAAAAGGCGGCGGGACGTAGTTGATGCCGCGGAAGAACGCCTTCATGTCGTGGTGTTGGCGTTGCAGCGTCCAGTCCATCCTCTCCATGTACTGCCCCATGCCATCCACTGTGAGGGTTAGCCGGTTCAGGGTGTCGGCTATAGACTGCAACGAGGCTCGAGCGGGGGCCGGGGCAGGGGCACGACTCAGTCCGGCGCCGTCTCGGGTTCCGGACTTCTTCTTGAAGGTGTTTTCGGCAATGATCCAAAACTTTGTCATCTTTGTGCTTGGCCCGACAATGTGGATGTCGGCGGAGACGATGAGGTCCATGACGAGGAAGGCGTATGGAAAGCTCCGCTCGTGGAGAATGGAAGCGCAATCCGTCATGTGAATCATGACGTATTTTGCCCAATTGATGGAGACGCCATGCATGATCGCATGAATCGCCTTCAAGTCGTCATTGAAGAGCGAGGTGTGGCTGCCATCCCGGGGGCGGAAGATCCGGGTGAGGATGTAGAGGAGGAGGCGCTTCTCCTCTGGAGCCGAGTGAATCGTCGGTGCGCCGCTGTGACGGATCAAGTTAGTGATCCCGAGCTCACGGATGACGACGGCCTCGTTGTTGAGGATCCAATCGTCGCCACCATATGTCGCGATGTCATCACCGTGGATGGGCAGCCCAGCGACCCGAGCAAAGGTAGCCAAATGAATCTCTATGTCGTAGAGATTGATGCTGCTGCGAATGGTGTCCCCGTCCCAGCGGAGATTTGAGTAGAAGGCCCAGACATAGGCGGGATTGAAGGAGGTGCGGCTCTTGGAGACGAAGGGCCACATACCTGATGCGTGAAGTTGGCTGTTGAGGTCGGGCACCACCCTTGGCGGAGAGATAGGGCATTTCGCGAAGTGGGTGATGAAGTGAGTGAGTTCTTCCTCCAAGCCAAACTCGAGGAAGGATCCGTCCAGGTACGGAAAGGGTTGAGGCGCAGAGCTCATGGCTTCGGCCGGACCTTTCTTCTTGGACGCTTTGCTCTTTGACTTTCCTCCGGCCATGATTGAAGCGTTTTTAAAGAAAGATTGATGAAATAAGGCCCCGTTCCGTTCAACTTATTTTTTCTTATTCTTATTAAAATCAGATCAGACCAGATCAGATCAGATCGAATCAGATCAGATCAAATCAGATCCAATCAGATCAGATCAGATCAGGACTTATTAAAATCAGATCTCATCAAGAATTATTATTATTATTATTATTATCATCATCATCATCATCATCATCATCATCATCATCATCATCATCATCATCATCATCATCATTATTGTTCTTAAAAATGAAAAAGAATAAACTTTAGAAATATGTTAAATAGAAAACTGAGAAAGTAATCCTTAATTATTAGACGTCGGAAAATTTAGTTTTAAAATACATTGACAATGTCAATCTAATATACTTTTAAAATATATTTTTATTGCTACTTGTAATTTTTGTTTCTAAACTTTTGATCTTTTATAAGGATGAGATATTTTAAAAAAAATACTATCTCTTCTATATATTGATTATCTAAATTTAATTACTTTTTAATGAATATCTAAATTAAATATTTATTATAATGTATAATTCTAATTTTACAAAAAAATTATCATAAAATAAAAAATATTATTACATTATCATATGAATGATTATTCTAATATATGAATTAACTATTTTTATTTTTTAAAAAATAATCATTAAATAAAAAATATTGATTATATTATAATATGAATTATCATTACAATTTTGAAACGTTATTATAAAGTCAAATTAAATAATTAATTTTTAATTTTAAATTAAATCATAATTAATCAGATCAAACCAAATCAGATCAGATCCAATCAGATCAGATAAGATCCAATCAGATTAGATCAATTCCAATCAGATCAGATCAATTCCAATCAGATCAAATCAGATCCAATCAGATCAGATCAGATCCGATCCAATCAGATCAGACCAGATCAGACCAGATCAGAACTTATTAGAATCAGATCAGATCAGAAAAAATAAGTTGAACGGAACGGAGCCTAAGTAGAATAAGCTAAAGGAATGAAATTATGATGTTAATTGTGTGTTAAGAAGGTAAGGGATGATGTGAATATATAGGTAGAGGAGGATGAAACCGTGTGAATTCAAAAAATATGGCTGTTGGGCAATAAATTTGGTGCCCAACGGCCATAATTTTTGAATTTCAACAGCCTTCCCAGCGATGGTAGGAACTACCCATCGATGGGAGGGTCGCTACTAGAAGGCGAGAAGGAAATCAAGTTTGCCTTCCCAGCGATGGTTGGATTCTCCCATCGATGGGAAGGTGGCTTCTGGAAATCCGTTAAAAAAATTTTAAAAAATTAGTGTTAAACAACCAGCGACGAGAGGATGTTCCCATCGATGGGTGGGGAGGTTCTGGAAAAATTTTAAGCAAAAGGCATTCACCCAGCGATGGGATAAAATACCCATCGATGGGTAAAGGTGTTCTAGAAATCCAATAAGTATTTAAAAAAAGAGTCAATCACCCATCGATGGGAAGAGGAGTTCTGTAAAAGATGAACTTCCCTCCCAGCGATGGTATAACCCACCCATCGCTGGTTCCCCGTGACTTCCAGAAATCTTTACTTCGAACCGTCCCTGCAAAAAAGAGTTAGAAAACCCTCCGACACTCAAGTTAGTAAACGATCAAACAAAGATAAAGGAGTGATAAAATGCATAAATTAGATCATCGTGGAGTCAAGGATTCCGAGTTCACTACAAATGCAGAAGAACAACTCTTTCTCTAAAGGTTTTGTGAAAATGTCGGCTAATTGGTTGTGTGTTTCAACAAACACAATTTCGACATCACCTTTGAGAACATGATCTCTAATGAAGTGGTGCCTAATGTCAATGTGTTTCGTCCTTGAGTGAAGAATGGGGTTATTTGTCAAGCTTATGGCGCTAGTATTGTCACATCGAAGTGGAACGTGACTGATACTAAGGCCATAGTCCACGAGTTGTTGCTTCATCCAAAGGATTTGAGCACAACAACTACGGGCGGCAACGTATTCCGCTCCGGTTGTGGGTAACGCAACACTGACTTGTTTCTTACTAAACAATGAAACTAAAGAGCTACCAAGTAAGTGGCAAGTCCCACTCGTACTTTTACCATCCAGTTTGCAACCGGAAAGTCCAAGTCAGAATAACCAACGAGATGACACGAAGAGCCTTTTGGATACCATAGTCCAACGTTAACCGTGCCAACAAGGTATTTCATGATCTGTTTCACCGCCGTTAAGTGTGATTCCTTCAGACATGATTGATACCTTGCGCAAAGGCATAAGCTAAACATGATATCCGGCCTACTAGCGGTAAGATAGAGAAGGGATCCAATCATACCTAGATACTTTTTTACTTCTCCTTCCTTACCTTTCTCGTCTTTTTCTAGATGGTCGGACGTGCTCATCGGGGTCGCCATGGCTTTGGCGTTGTCCATTTCGAATCGTTTTAGGAGCTCCTTGCAATATTTAGTTTGGTAAATGAATGTTCCATCCTTCATTTGCTTGACTTGGAGTCCCAAAAAGAACGTGAGCTCGCCTATCATTGACATTTCAAACTCGCTTGTCATTAACGTTGAGAATTCTTTGCACAAAGACTCGTTAGTAGCACCGAATATAATATCGTCTACGTAAACTTGAACCAAAAGGATGTTATTGTTTTTACTCTTGATAAAAAGTGTAGTGTCAACTTTTCCCCTTTGGAAACCACTATCCAAAAGAAATTTACTCAAATGTTCGTACCAAGCACGGGGTGCTTGTTTAAAAACGTAGAGTGCTTTCTTGAGTTTAAAGACATGGTCGGGGAACTCAAAGTCTTCAAACCCCGGGGGCAGGTCAACATACACTTCCTCTTGAATAAAACCATTTAGGAAGACACTCTTAACATCCATTTGATAAAGTTTAAAATCCATAGACGAAGTAAAAGCAAGAAGTAAACGAATAGCTTCTAAACGTGCTACGGGTGCATAAGTTTCTTCGAAATCAATGCCTTCTTCTTGATTGTAGCCTTTAGCTACGAGCCTAACTTTGTTTCTAGTGATTATTCCATTTTCATCAAGTTTGTTACGGAACACTCATTTTGTACCAATAATTGTATGATCATTGGGCCTTGGCACCAATTCCCAAACGTCATTCTGTTTGAATTGGTTTAGCTCCTCTTGCATAGCCAAGGTCCAATGTTCGTCGTTTATTGCTTCGGAAATGGTTGTAGGTTCAATTTGAGAAACAAAAGCCATGTGTCCTACTGTGTCCCTAAGTGAGTTACGAGTACTTACCCCGCGGTTGATGATACCGATTACCTGGTCAAGCGGACGGTTCTTGTTCGTTCTCCATGCAATGGGGAGCTCGGTTGCCTCTTGTTCTTTCTATTCCTCCTGATTTTCTTCTTCACCTTGATTAGTAGCTTGGAGCGTCTCCCCAATTTGTGGTTGTTTGTCGGTGTATATTCACGTGTTCTCTTCATCGTCTTCGACGTGCATTCTTTCTAATGAATCTGCAAGATCATCACAAATATCCTTTCTCGCCAAGCGAGGATTATCTTCGGAAAATACAACATGAAGGGACTCCTCAATAGTCAAAGTTTGTTTATTAAAGACTCTATAGGCCTTGCTACGAAGTGAATAACCCAGAAAAATTCTTTCATCCGACTTGGCATCAAATTTGCCTAAGTTGTCTTTGCCATTGTTATGAATAAAACATTTGCAACCAAAGACTCGAAGATGAGAAAGGATTGGCTTTCTCCCTTTGTATAGTTCATAAGGCGTTTTCATGAGTATCGGTCGAATGACGGCTCGGTTTAACACGTAGCTCATGGTACTCACGGCATCTGCCCAAAAATACTTGGGGATTTTTGCCTCATTGATCATAGTTCTAGCCATCTCTTCAAGACATCTATTTTTACGTTCCACCACTCCATTTTGTTGTGGTGTACGTGGGGCTGAGAAATTATGATCAATGCCGAGTTTGTCACATAAATCTGAGAATAGATTTCCTTCGAACTCTCCCCCATGGTCGCTTCTAATGGCTACTATGGTTGTTTCTTTTTCATTTTGAATTTCTTTAGGAAATTTTTGAAAACGTGAAATGCCTCACTTTTGTGAGTTAGAAACAAGGTCCATGTAAACCTAGAGTAGTCATCGACAATCACAAATGCAAAGTAATTACCACCAAAACTTTTCGTTCTAGAAGGACCAAAGAGATCCATGTGCAAAAGTTGAAGCGGTCTAGACGTTGAAACAACGTTTTTAGACTTAAACGAAGCCCGAACTTGCTTCCCCTTTTGACATGCATCACATATGGTGTCTTTTTCAAACTTAAGTTTTGGGATGCCAATTACCAAGTCTTGTGAAACCAATTTGTTCAAAAGGTTCATGTTCATATGAGCTACCCTTCGGTGCCATAGCCAAGTGTCTTCCTCTTTACTCATGAGGCACTTAGCAAAGCCGGAAGGAGATTTGTCTAAGTTAACCATATATATATATGTTATCGATTCTATCACCACATAGAATGACCTTATTTTCACTAAGGCGTTCTACCGTGCATGATTTTGAATCGAAGGTCACACGATTTCCCTTGTCACATAATTGACTTATGCTTAAGAGATTGTGTTTAAGACCCTTAACTAGCAAGACATTATCTATAGAGGAGTCTTCGGACTTACCTACCGAACCGATGCCAATAATTTTTCCTTTGCTATTATCTCCAAAGACTATGTTTCTTCCTTTAGCGGGTTTGATTTGTAGGAACTTGGATGCATCTCCGGTCATGTGCTTGGAGCATCCGCTATCAAGGTACCAAAGTACACTTGACGCTTTCAAGCACACTTACAAAAATGATTTAATAAGATTTAGGTACCCAAGTCTTGTTGGGTCCTTGAGTGTTAAGTGCAAAGTGGTAGTGTGGTTCATTTTGTGCCCAATGCCTATGCCTAGTAAAGCAAACGGGAGCTATATGTCCTACCCTATTGCAATAATGACAAACTACGTTTGGGTTGTGCATCCTTCTAGGTTGATAATAATTGCTAGGGGGCCTAACCATATTCATCATATTTTGAGAAAATATTGGTTTTTGAAAATTTTCTCTTCTAGGTGTCCTAGCATTATTTTATCTATTTGAAAAATTATTTTTATGCACAAATTCATTTTGATAGTTTTTCGTAGGTTGTCTAATATGCACATTTTCATTCCTAGGTTTTTGTCTAGGTTGTCTAGTGTCCTTAGGTTGACTAGATTTTCTATTATCCTGATTTTTAACTTTCTTACGTTGAGCCTTAGGAGGTTGTCTAGGTGTTTGCTCAACGTTTTTATCCTTAGATTCATTTTTATCAAAACCTAATCCTTCCTTTAAAAAATGCATAGTGTCTAGGAGTAAGTTAAGATCTTTGTGTGGTGTATTAAACTTCTTAACCGTACTATCAAGTTTTGCAACTTTTTCTTTTAAAGCTTTGCAAGATTCACATTCACTTGAAGAGCTTTCTGGTTTGTCAGCGCTTCTTTTGCCATAAAATTTATTTTCTTGTTTCAACTTTTCATTATCTTTTTCCAGTTTTTCAAAATCATTTTCAAGAGTTGAAAAGTGTTTCTTTAATGATTTGTTGGTTTTAGAAGCGCTAACAAATTCACCATAAAGCTCTCGAAGTGCTTCTTGCATCTCTTCAAAAGTGTAAGAGTCGGAGGAAGTAATACATGCCTCTTGTACTTCGTCGGCGTGGTCTTCGTGTGCCATGAGACAGAGGTTGGCGGCTTCTTCCTCTTCTTGGTCAGTTGACTCATCACCGGAGTCGCCACCCCATGAGATATAGGCACGTTGCTATTTTAAACCAGGTCTGTCCTTGCCGCTTTTGCCTTTTGGACACCTCGGCTTGATGTGGCCTATCTCACCACACCCATAGCATTTCGGGGGACCGTCGTGCTTTCTTCCTTTGCGCTCAAATTCCTTCTTCATAAATTTATGAAATTTCTTGATGATGAGTCCAAACTCGTTGTCATCATCGCGTGAGACTTCTTCCATCGTTTCCTTGGTTGCGTTAAGTGCTATACCTTTCTTCTTTTGTTCATCCAAATACGGGGTTAGAACAATAGATTCATAAGTTTTGAGATTACCTCTTAACCCTTCGATGGTGACGTTCGAGACTTTGATGGATTTGTAGATTGCATCAGCCTTTGATCTCCATTCGGGTGTGAGACTCCGCAGGAGTTTTCTCACAAGGTCCTTGTTGGCGTAAGTCTTCTTGAGTGCATGAAGGTCGTTGATGATCTTTGAGAACCGATCGAACATATCATAGATCTTTTCGCCTTCCTTCATCCTAAACATTTCGTACTCCTGCGTTAGGAAGTCAATTTTGGCTTCCCGAACTTGGTCCGTACCTTAATATGTGACCTCCAACTTGTCCCACATTTCTTTGGCGGTGGTGCAGCAAGAGATTTTGCGATAATCATCGGGGTTGACCGCGCAGTACAGCATGTTGATTGTCTTGGCGTAGTTCTTGTTGAAACACGGGCATGTCACATTTTTGTACTAAAGCCGTGTTTGTTTTTATGACAGGTTTTGATAATGCCAAACCGCCGTGATCAAGTCAAACCTTGAATATACAAGGCGAAGAAGGAAGACAAGAACAAGAGCTAAAAGAAGACCAAGAACGAAGACCTTAGTCTTAGTGTCGTTGAGTCGGTCTTCATTGTGATCAAGACCGACCCAATCTTTACACCTTGGCTCTTTAGGCTAAAAACCTTCATTGCACTTCTTAAATCATAAAAATGTTTTTCAAACATGTTTAAGTCATTAAAAACACTTGGTGTTCGCCCAAACCAAAAACCAAGCCATCCGGCGTTCGGGTTTCAGATACTGGCGTTCGGCTCTCAGTTATCGGCTATGGTTTTTGGCGTCCGAACCAACCAAGTGGTTTTCAACTTTTTATGATTGGTTTTTACTCTTTGGCATGTTTAAACGGTTCTCCAACAAAAACACTTTGAAAACCATCTCTCGCTTTTAGTCGTTTGACAAAAACCACGCAAAACGGCGTAAACTTGGCTAGCCGTGGTTTTTACTCAAATGACGTGATTTTTAAAGTGTCTCACTTGATTTCTTAGCCAAATACATCAAATAAGTGTTTTAAACACTTGGTTTTTATTTTGGAGAACTTTGGATTTTTCGGTCGGTTTTTGCATCGGTTGGCTAGGCCGTGGTTAAGGCAAAAACCATAGGTTTTTGGCTAACCACCCACCCAGCGATGGGAAGAACATCCCATCGATGGGTAAGTAGCCCCTTAGCCAAA